TGACTTTAAATCTCATTTAAGCATTATCAAAAAGTGTTACTTTTTAAAAAATTAAAAATAGTCTAAAAAAACCTTAAAATGTCTAAAAATAGTAACTTTATGCCAAGAATGAGACTAAATAAAATCAAATGAGATTACTTTCTCATTTTTTTCAAGTCATGATTTCATTTTAAGATCTGATATATAGTCACTTTGCATGTTTTTTAAATGACTAGTCTCAGCAGGATTCACATCAAGAAATGTATGAAATCAGATCAAATGAAATTAAACATGAAATTCATGATCTCAGTAGCCAGTCTAGTTACACGGTCAGTCTATATAGCACAGGCTATTAGTACTGTAAGAAAGAAACTGATATATTATTACAGCAAAACTGAAAAATCTTTTACAGAGTACTATGCTGTAGCAGCTCTACTAGATTTCTTCTATTAAGTTAATATCTACACTTCTCAAGATTGAACAGAGAAGAAATGAGACTTATATATTAAATTAGTCTGAGACTACTATAATGTTAACTATCAAAGATTTAAATAAGTAGATATTAAAGATGTAAAGACAGTGAAATACAATTCTCTAGTAAGTAATGATTTTTGATAATACTTTATATTATATAGAACTATAATACTAACTTCGAAACAGAACTTGCATACATTAATCACAACTGAAAATCAGGCAAAACTATATATATATAAAACTGAATTTGACTGCTATCTTTAAGATAATCTGATAAATTTACATATTAAATCAATTCTAGAGTTATAAAAAATTGTTGAAAGTATATATTCAACTGTTACACTGATAATATGTGATATTCTAATAATTTCATTGACAGAGATGAGAATGAAGTGAAAGTTCAACTCAAGCTGAGATATTTATTACTATCACTGAGAATAATTATAAGAAGAAATAATCAAGAAACTTATAATTGTAACACATGAAATTATCAGACAGTTTAATACCTCTGATTATAGTATATCAGAGAAGTGTAGTTTTCATGAGAAAGTAGAGACTAAACTTACACAAGAATGTATTTAGTTATTTCATGAGTGTTATCAATAATTGTTACTAAATTCTGATAATATAAGCAATCACTGAATAAACTGAATAAGACTGAATTTGATTCTCAGTCTCAGTCTCATTCTGATTTTGAAAAAATAATTATCTTTTATAGTTTATTCTGAGAAATTACTCTCATTTCACTGTTCTTACATTAAATCTGGTCATTTTTCATGTCATTTCTCTCAGAAATGATTCATTTTCAGATTTTTTTAATGCTTAGTTCTGATGAGACTCATGTCAAGAAATGTATGAGATCAGATTAAATGAGATCAAATGTGAAATTCATAATCTTACCAGCCAGTCTAACTACTATAATATCAACTATCAGAGATTTGAATAAGTAGATATTAGAGATGTGAAGACAGTGAAATACAATTTCCTAGTAAGTAACAATCTTTGATAATACTTCATATTGCATAGAACTATAATACTAACTTTGAAACAGAACTTGCATACATTGATTATAACTGAAAATCAGATAAAACTACATATCTGTAAAACTGATTTTAATTACCATCTTCAAGATAATCTGACAAATTTACATACTAAATCAATTCTAAAGTTATAAAAAATTGTTAAGAGTATATATTCAACTATTGTACTGATAATATATGATATTCTGATAATTTCATTGACAGAGATAAAAATGAAGCAAAAGTTCAACTCAAGCTGAGATATTTATTACTATTATCAGAGACAATTACAAGGAGAAACAATCAAGAAACTCATAATTATAAAATATAAAATTATCAGACAGTTTAATACCTCTGATCACAGTATATCAGAGAAGTGTAGTTTTCATAAAAAAGTCAAGAATAAACTTACACAAGAATGTATTTAGCTATTTTATGAGTATTATCAATAATTAGTATTAAATTCTGATTATATAAGTAATTACTGAATGACTGATTTTAATCTTCAGTCTCAGTCTTATTCTGATTTTGAAAGAATAATCATCTTTCACAGTTTATTCTGAGAAATTACTCTCAATTCACTGTTCTTGAATTAAATCTGGTCATTTTTCACATCATTTCTCTCAGAAATGATTCATTTTCAGATTTTTTTAATACTTGATTCTAGTGAGACTCATGTTAAGAAATGTATGAAATCAGATTAAATGAAACTAAATGTGAAATTCATAGTCTCATTGATCAGTCTATCTGAGACTACTGTAGTATTAAGTATCAGAGATTTAAATAAGCAGATATTAAATATATAAAAGCAGTACAATATAATTTTATAGTAAGTAATAATCTTTGATAACACTTTATATTATATAGATCTATAATACTAACTTTAAAACAGAACTTATATATATTAATTATAACTAAAAATCAGATAAAACTATATACTTATAAAACTGAATTTAACTGATATATTTAAGATAATTAAATAAATTTATATATTAAATTAATTCTAAAGTTATAAAAAATTATTAAGACTATATATTTAACTATTATACTAATAATATATAATATTCTAGTAATTTCATTGATAAAAGTAAGAATGAAGTGAAAGTTTAACTTAAACTGAGATATTTATTACTACTATCAAAAACAATTATAAGAAATAATTAAGAAACTTATAATTATAAAATATAGAATTATCAGATTGTTTAATATTTTCAATTACAGTATATCAGAGAAGTGTAGTTTTTATAAAAAAAGTCAAGAATAAATTTATATAAGAATATATTTAGTTACTTCAGAAGTATTATTAATAATTATTATTAAATTCTGATTATATAAGTAATTACTGAATAAATTAAATAAGACTGAATTTAATCTTCAGTCTCAGTCTTATTTTAATTTTTAAAAAATAATTAGCTTTTATTATTTATTCTGAGAAATTACTCTTATTTCACTGTTCTTGAATTAAATCTAGTTATTTTTCATATCATTTCTGAAAGAAATGATTTATTTTCAGATTTTTTTAATACTCAGTTCTGATGAGACTCATATTAAGAAATATATAAGATTAGATTAAATGAGATTAAATGTGAAATTTGTGATTTTTCTGATTAGTCTAGTAATAATCTGATTTTTCTCTTCTATTTCATGAATTTTTATTTACAAGAAAAAAGAAAAGAAAGAAAGAAAAGAAAGAAAAAGAAAAGAAAGAAAGAAAAGAACTGAATTCTTCTCTTTTAAAGAAAATAAAACAGTAGTAAACAATGCTTCTCAAAAAGAGAAAGAATCATTACTTATAAGAAAACACAAAGAAAAAAGATTATTAATAAGAAATTTATTTCTGAAGAGAGCTTAGACTAGACTGATCATGTGATTATATCTGAGATCAGAACTAGATTTTTTAATAGTTTTATTATCAATTTGACTGATCTCATTACACAGTTTTAACATTAGATAGTAGTCTCATACTGTTGCAGTGAGACTTACTGTCTACTCTTGTCACATTTTTCAAATGAGATCATGATTTTCACTTCTTAATTTAAATTATTTTTATTACTTTAAATGACTTTATATCTCATTTGAGTGTTATCAAAAAGTGTTACTTTTTAAAAAATTAAAAATAGTCTAAAAAAAACCTTAAAATGTCTAAAAATAGTAACTTTATGCCAAGAATGAGACTAAATGAGATTAAATGAGATCACTTTCTCATTTTTTTCAAGTCATGATCTCATTTTAAAATCTGATATATAGTTACTTTGCATGTTTTTTTAATAGCCAGTTTCAGCGGGATTCACGCCAAGAAATGTATGAGATCAGATCAAATAGAATCAAGTGTGAAATTCATAATCTCACTGATCAGTCTAGCTTAGACTGATTATGTAACTATATCTGAGATCAGAATCAGATTTTTTAATAGTCTTATTATTAATTCAACTGATCTCATTACACAGTTTTAACATTTAATAGTAGTTTTATACTGTCTCAGTGAAACTTACTGTCTACTCTTATCATATTTTTCAAATGAGACTATGATTTTCACTTCTCAATTTAAATTATTTTTATTACTTTAAATAACTTTAAATCTCATTTGAGTATTATCAAAAAGTGTTACTTTTTTAAAAATTAAAAATAGTCTAAAAAAAACCTTAAAATGTCTAAAAATAGTAACTTTATATCAAGAATGAAATCAAATGAGATTAAATAAGATCACTTTCTCATTTTTTTCAAGTCATGATTTCATTTTAAGATCTTATATATGATTACTTTACATGTTTTTTTAATGACTAGTCTCAGCAGAATTCACATCAAGAAATATATAAGATCAGATTAAATAAGATTAAATATGAAATTCATAGTTCTGATAGTCAGTCTAAGAGAGCTGTAGTAGATATAACTAGACTGACTATGTAACTGTGTCTGAGATTAGAATCAGAATTTTTAATAGTCTTATTATTAATTTAACAGATCTCATTACACAGTTCTAACATTAAATAGTAGTCTTATACTGTCTCAGTGAGACTTATTATCTACTCTTATTATATTTTTCAAATAAGATTATGATTTTCACTTCTCAATTTAAATTATTTTTATTACTTTAAATAACTTTAAGTCTTATTTAAGTATTATTGAAAAGTATTACTTTTTAAAAAATTAAAAATAGTCTAAAAAAAACCTTAAAATGTCTAAAAATAATAACCTTATACTAAGAATGAGATTAAATGAGATTAAATGAGATCACTTTCTTATTTTTTTCAAGTGATGATTTTATTTTAAGATCTGATATATAGTCACTTTGCATATTTATTTAATGATTAGTCCCAGTGGGATTCACATCAAGAAATGTATGGGACCAGACCAAATGAGACCAAACATGAAATTCATGATCCCGGCGGCCAGTCTAGATGTGGCCATTCAATCCTTGGCTCCTTTCTCTCTAAGTTAGTGGATCGTGGGGTCGGCCCGAAATGCTCTAGCAACCCGACCCGACCTGTCTCCGATTCTTATATCAATTGTCTCCGGGGCGGGCGGTTGGAGAAATTTATACTTGTCATATTCAGTACATGTAGCAAAATACCAGGTAATAATTATATGGTGAATAAGGCTCGGGGTTCTCAGCCAACACGTATCAAGAATCTCTGCAGGGTCAATCGGGGCATCGCGGTTTACGATCTTGCTCCTCCGTTCATCATCATTAGGTGGTATGCACCAAAAGTATTAAATTATTGTCTGGTAAACCTTGGAAGATTCCCACATGATGAAATCACCTTGGTATGGATCTGAAACTTCCAATTTCTCCCAAGATCGTTTCCTTCCCAAATGTCATACGTAACTCGCGCTCTGTTCCATTCCTCCGCCACTCGCTCGTCGTTCAACTGTGGATCGAGCAATGCAGGTTAGCAGCATCGGCGGCAGTAGGACGTGACCCAACGTTCCTCCCGCCCTTCCTGGGTTCCGGCGGGCCGTTCCACTGTGCCTGGATCTCAAAACTACGGCTTGTGTGTACCGGATCGCGTTGAGACTGTTACCGAATATTCAAAGAGAATTGTATATCGGATCATGTTTGAAGAATTACTTTCGAGGAACCAGGACATTCTTCTTCACTGTGATTAGAGACATGTCGAACTCCATGCCTCGCCTCAGGCTCCACATAAATTACGAAGCCTTGACCTCACATCCCAGTCTGAGATGCCCTCGTCGTCAAGCGCTCTGACCCCTAGACCTATTCCAACATCCCAGGAAGCTGCTACTCTACTTCTGAATTGCTGCTTGTGAATGTGCAACACCCACCCTGTCAAATGATCTCTGGTTCTTGGAAGCTGATCCGCTCGTGGTTCTAGGAGACCGTGTGTCTGAAGACACGAAAAGCCCTTGCCTATTATCCCACAACATTAGGACGACAATTAGGCTAAACAATTGATCGCAACCATGCGGTTCTCCGTCCCAGCGTTTATCGTCCCAGCGTTAATCGCTCTGCTCAGCTTTGGTTCTAACGCACTGGCGGCTGAATGCTACAGCCGATCGGGGGGATACCCATGTGCGACTCTGGACGAGGCCATGAATGCCTTCAGCTACTATTGCGCGAATTACTATGATAAACCATGCCACGAGTTCGTGAAGATCACTTACAAAGGAACGGTTTGGGTCGGGCATGTTGGAGCATTCAACAATCCGTCAGACTGTTTCGAAGCTGGTAGGCAAATTGTATATGAGTGCTACGGCAAGAAAGATGGTGGCTCCTGGACCAGTAATCAAAAGAGCATCAATGTCAACTACTGCCAGTGGTAGGTAAGCGTTAGGGCTCCGATGAGAGATTCGGAAAAGTGGACTTTTCCATTTTCTTTTCCGTTGTCTCTCTTATTTGTGATGTCCGCGGTTTATTAGATGAAAGGGTTTATGTAGTAGGGGTGAAGTGCGGTTGCGATGGAGTGTGCGAGGGAGGCGAGATATCTAGCTGTTTTATTCTAGCTCCGTGATTATTACTTGACCACCAATTGTCTCGCCTTAAATTACATAGTGAGGGGTGAATAATTATATGTATGTACAGTAGTATCTAAGAAGAAGTTAGTGTCCTAGAGGCTCAGTGCAGAGAGCCTCTCATATATTTACCCCTTTTCTTCCTTGATATCTCCCTCATTCTATATTTTTTCTATTGCTTCAAAAATGCCTTTCAAATTCAATACATTGAGAAAAGAGCATCTACAGTTATTGTCAATACAATTTTGAGCCTGTTTGAGAGGGCCGGGGAGGGGGGAGGGGGAGAAATCTATTTAAATCTTGAATTTTGAAGCTGCTTTAATCAAATATTTTATGGTTGATCTCATTTGATCTGATCTCTTACATTTCTTGACTTGATTTTAACTGAGATATATATTATCGAAAAAATATGAATGTGATTATATAGTTAAAACTTAGAATATAACCATGATTAAATAAAAATAAAACAATGATTTTATTTGATTTTAATTTTATTCTTCATATAAAAAAAAAAAATAAAATAAAATAAAAAAAAAATAAAAAAAAATTAGAGTATATTTTAATATTATTTTAAATCTTTAGGATTATTGTCACAGACTCCGAGTGTGTTGGTGGAAGCCCCTGGCTTTCCACCCCCCTAACCTTCCGCTCCACCCTCTGCCCCCCATTCCTTCCTTCTTCCGCCCACACTTAGGGCCGATTATTTTCTTTCCTATTGTAGCCCCGCGATCGCTACTTCTATGATTGCAACTTGCAATCGCTCCTTCTACGATCACAATGGGCATGTTATTTGTATATAACAGAGGACGTACCCCCCCCGATCTTGGAAGAATCAGACTGAGAAGATGTTTTTGAAAAAATAGATGGTATCATTACGGTCGTTCTTACGGCTATGTCAACGATAGTTAAAAAACTAGAATTGATAGGGGTTTCTGTATCTATTGGCCACGCTATACACACACGTAGGCGGATACATGCGTATATATATACACATGAAACACTTGTCAAAATCTATTTCCATGTCAATAATAAGGAAGAAGAAGAGATATATGTATAAAATAAAAAGGATATCAAACATAAATCACATGTGTGGTGTGTATGCCTAACGTCCTAGACCATCTCATCCGTTCCGGTTCCCGCTTACATCGCGAGAAGAAGGAAAAACAAAAGACACAAAAGGAAGAAAAAAATGAAGAAAAAAATGAAGCAAAAAAACTCGACTTAGTTACAAAATTTTTTTGGTTCTTTTTTCTTTCCTTTCTTAATCCTAATTCTCAGCGAATTTCCGCTCAATATCATCGTTGCGCGTTTCAAAGTCGCCAGTCGGCAAGTTATTAAGCGTATCTTCTTCCTTATCGGTACTGCGGTTGGTGATCCAGAAGCCGACACCACCGACGAAGGCAAGGATGGCGGTGACAGCGTAGTTCCACTCGAGCAGGGGATCCTCAGACAGGCCGACGAGTGCTTGGCCAAGGGCGGCAGAGAAGGCATTCATGAACAGGGCCACGGCCTGGACCAGGGAACGCATGTTCTTGGGCGCCTTGGTGAAGGCGTACTCAAGACTAGTTACCGAAGCAAAGATTTCGGAAACACCACCAAGTACGTACGGGACGGCTTGCACCCAGACGGAGATGGGGGCGGGGATATCGTCTGCGGCGCATACGTTGGCTTCCTTCCCGCAAGGGCCCAGTTTGTAGATGTAGTACTGAATTACTGTGGCAGCAATCATACTGGAACTTGCGAGGAAGAAGCCAATGGTGATGCGCTTCACAGGGGTAAGCTTGATGCCAAGCTTTCGGAGCGGGGGGTAGAAGAATCTGTCAAGCAGAGGGATGAAAATGATGAGCGTGAAAGGGTTGAGGTTGGTGATGATGTCGTTAGGCACTCCATTGAGCAACATGGTTGCGGCCTGGGATGTGAGGTTGTTCAACATTTGATTGTAGGAAAGCCCTAGAGAGAAAGTATCGTGTTAGAGAAAACGAAATAGGCAAGGGGGAGGAATGGGATAGTACGTACAGTAAAGTGGGTACCACAGGAAAACGGCACATGCTTTGAGACCACGGCGGACCTCATCAACCCACGCATCGTCAAATGTCATCCATTCTGGCTTGTTGGCAATGTTGCTGGGCTTGACTCTTTCCCACATGTCTGGGTCGTGGAAGTTGCGGTATCTGTTCCTCATCTGTAAGTGAATGGTAGAGCAGGCAAACTATGGAGATACTTACGTCCTCGCAGGGTTCCATGACACCCGGCCCTTGATAGCCATCATCCATACCTTAAAGGCTTTGTCGTACACCGAACCAACAGGCTTGTGCCGGCTGTATTTGTTGCGCAGAAGATAGAGGACCATTGGGCACAAACAGAACATGCAAGTGGGGAGGAGGAATGAGAGATAGAAGCCGACATATTTCTCAGCGTAAACCATGGCGATTTGCCCAATGAGAGCTCCAATGTTGATCATGAGATAGAAATAATGGTAGATTCGGGAGACAGTGACAGCGGGGTCGACAATCACGCGCTCGCCTTTCTTCGTCGTCTTGATAAACATGTATTCCTCAGTGTACTGCTCTGCAATCAGGGGGGAGATATTGGATCTATGACAAATAGGTTAGATTGGAGGATTCATCGACAGAAGGTTAGTTTGAAGAGAAAACAAAAATTCTTACTTGAATCCACCAGTTCCCACTCCCATGATGATAAGGCCAACCGCAAAGCACGCGACGGCACCATTGGGGTTTTTCAGCACGGGGGGGATTGCTGAAATGATCAAAACCGTGTGTCCGACGAGTGCGACGGCGATGGAGTACATAATGGTGTTAAAGCGACCCCAATACTGATCGGCAACATAGGCGCCAGCCAGTGGCATAACATAGGACCAAAAAGAATTGACTGCATCCAACGGTTAGATTTAAGGGCAAATTGGATTTGGTCTCGTTAAGCCAAAGAGCACTTACATAAAGTTAGACCAGTGGAAGCCCGCTGCCCCAAGCCCAAGGCACCAGGAGTGCGATGAGTGCCGCCAGCACCAGTGGTGGAGCCTTCAGGCAGGTCCCGCTGGATGAAGTTCACAACTATGTACATCATGGGTGTTAGTAGTTATATCAGAGCCATCATTGGAATCGGGTGGTGAAACTCACACACGACAATGGTTCCATAGTAAGAGAACCGTTCGCACAACTCGACGAAGGCGATAGAGAAAGCAAGCCATGGGATTTTATCGGGAACACGGCGGAGGGTTTCAATCTCGTCTGGCGTGGGCGCCTGTCGATTAATGCTTTCGAGACTGTCATGGTCACTGGTATAGACAGTGGCCCCTATTTCCTTCTCATTGCTGCCCGCAACTGCACCTTTGTCAGATGAACCGCTGCCAGCGGCCTTTTGAATCTCAACTTCTTGGGATGTAGCCATCCTCGCGATTGTATGAGAACCAAGGTGAACCGTTGGTTTGGATATCGCTTCGCGGGCTGGGCCTGAGAAGAGAAGAAGGAAGGGGTAAAAGCTCCATCCAACGAACGGGGGTATATCCCGTTATATGTAGGAATCTTTAAAATCGCCTGTATAGAAACGGACAAACTCCAGGTCTTCGGCTTGGGCAGCGGGGTTGCAACGCTGGCTCGGGGCCCCCCCTCATCAATCATAGCAGAACTTGTGTCAATTGGGTCAAGGTCAACAAGGGTCATTAATTGAGGTTGAGGCTAACAGGATGGGACCATGGTCGATGTCCAGCAAATACAGTATGAGTTCCATATTACTTCTAGCCAGGGTCAAGAGAGTCAGAGCGAGCATGCCCATGCCAAGCATATCTCCTCCTCCCTGTTTGTGCTGCAACGCTTAACAAAGGAAGAATACTTCACCCAGGCGTGGCCGTTGGCATAGCTAGTACGGGGTATCCATACAATCACCCGAGCGGGCAGCGAAACTCCGCATATTGGGAAAGTTTGCTCATAGGCGCTATCGTTTGTTCGGAGGAACCCTTGTGCAACCACACTGAGAAAAGTAATTAGTTTTTGCGCGGCAGCTCATTCACTGGTATTCATCAAATACAGGAGACAATGGGATGTGGAGCCTTGTGACAATCTCCCTGCGGGTTATCCCACATCCAAAAGGATTAAATAAACAATAAAATAAAATAAAATAGGCAGGGCATTCATGTCTATCCCGCCGAGCGCTGGGGATCGGGAGGAAGTAGAGAGAAGAGGGAGGAGTACCTCGAATTGGGCTTCCTGCCGTGAATTGATGCCGTGATGGTGGACCAGGTTAGGGCTGGGACCAAACCGAATTAGGGTTCAAAGCTTGAAAAACTTGTAGCCAGGTTTGCCATAAGTCCTGATTTCCTGGGTTGCACCAGGAGAAAAGCAATCTCCGAAAGCCTCATCCAATCCGCTGACATTCCCACTTCGCATTTGGTTAAGGAACCCGGGATCATAATTGGTGGGATTACGAGTGGGGAACCATTGGACGGGACAAGCACTTGACCTTCCTCGCTGGCCTCTTTTTTAGCTACAAAAGCCTGCGAGTGCGCCAACACGCCAAGTCTCGGCGAAGGAGCAAGATATTTATCTCCCCACCTCCGAGTCTCCGACGGACGTGCTTTCTGAGATCTTGGCTGTGTGTTTGTGCGGGACAAGAGACTAAGACACCCAGCCAAAGAAAGCGCCGTATCGCCAGTATCGCCATCATCGCCAAATATGACGAGGAACCTTCGCACCTAGATCTGAAAATGCGTCTTGTTCATGGGCTTGCTTTCGGATGATGTGAGACCTAGTGATACGATCCCATCCTTATTTCTGCGGCCTGCTCGTGTGGGACATTTCGCTTCCCCGCGGTTAACGACTGCCCAGTTTTGGCCTTCCAGCACATGTGGCGGAAAATAGCATTCTCCCCCCGAAAAGCTTGGCAGGCATGCTCCATTGTAACCATAGGCAAAATCAAGCATGTGCTTAGGCCGAGATGGGTGGTGAGAATGCAAATTATTCCCCAGCGAATGGAAATATCAACTTTAATGGAGGGCATTAGTTAATTTTTCCCGCCTCTCGTGATTTTTGCATCACCATCTTTTGGTGTATCCGGACGCAAAAAACTCAGACTGATAATAGGATAATAGGAGAGCATATGTGGCTAATACGAGACATTTGGGGTTGAGAACCGCGATGTCCCTTCTGTTCCTTCCTTTCTTTCTTTCTTCCATTCTTTCTTTTTGTTTTGACAATTCCGGCCTCGGTTTTATCACAGAATGGCGCCAGTGATCGACGTCCCGCCAAAGCAGCCATCCATCGGTCCTGCAGATTGCCGTCCTATGATTGGGCGGACTTGTTCTGTGCTCGGCGCCACTGCACGGCAATTGTCAAGTAATCCCGCTCATTCTTGGCGCCAAGACACGGATCTGCCAAGGCCTGGACGTGGACGGGCTTACCCGAAGAAATGAATGAGCGCTATTTTATAATAGTCCATAGAAAGAATAATAATAAATAAAATACTCCGTATGTTGCGCAGCGTTGTTTTGACAGGGATGACAAATGGCTCTCGGTAGCGCTTATGCCTCAACGATTTCTGGAAGCGAAACGAGGGCATGGTTGAGAGAATAGGCTGACATGTTGGTATAAGTGACAAATATTATTTTCATAATTGTTGCCACAATACTCCGTAACGGAAAGAGAGCCAGTCCAGTCCTGTTCTAGAACCAGGAACCAGGAATCATGAATCAGGAATCAGGAATCAAGAGGCGGCCCCATTTTTTCTCACAGCACAGACAGCGTCAGACAAAAGTAGTGACAAACTGCCTGCTGCTGAGAAGAGAAGAGTCCTGGAGGGAGGATTCCCTCAATACCCCAGGTGGGAGTTGAACTCCTTTTCCGAAGAATCCTGACTAGTCAATCCTGTACGGAGTGGGCATGGTCGCTGTTTGAACCCCATCCCATAATAATTCGACAGCTGGAGATTCTTCAGATGATGCGCACACGATGCTCATTGCAGCCAGCCAGCTTGCCAATTAATGGCGCGACTAAGCTTTTGGCGTTTGACTGTGCCAATTTTTAGGGCCTCAGCAGGCTCAGTTCTTGTCCAGGCGGAACAGCAACAAAACCTTCCTTGCCGTAAATTGACTTTGGTGGAGTTGCTTGGGTTGTATCATCTCCGTTCCAGAGGGCCTTGGCAGCCGTAGCGTGATCCGCCACATGGGGAATCTCATCTGCTCGAACGGCTGATTGGCCCTTATCAGGTCTTTGGACTGCTTGGAGAGGGGAAATGGAACCCGGTGCGGGATGGCGGCTGCTGGTTCGCTCTGGCTCGGAGCGGCCGAAAAGCGCGTATCCTCGACCCGAGTTTATCTATCTTGACGTGGTTTCTCGGCTTCTTGTAGAGATATTTTCTGGAGAAAAAAGGGCAAGGAAAAAAAAAAAAAAAAAAAAAAAAAAAAAAAAAAAAAGAAGAAGAAGAAGTTGAGATAAAGAAAGTATTTGCCGGTGTCTCTTCTGCCAGTGCTGTGACACTGTCTTGGGGCGATTTGACAAATCAATTCCCGTCCATCAAGCACCCCCTGGCTCGCTTGCGTCTGGCGAATTTTTGATACAATGACGGACTCCACGCCATTCACGATGGAGGGAAGGTATACGCGGTTACAATAATGGGGTCAATTTCGTGCTGCTTACCCCAGTCTCTTCTTTGCCAACTCGAAACACCGAGATCTATCCGCATCGCGTCGGGCAATGCGATGCGCTGGGGTCCGTTTATGGCCCCATGGCCATGGTCCATAGACAAACAAAGTGATAAATCCATGAATCCATGAATCCGGGGTTCCCTCCCGATTTGAACAAGGCGTTTGCGGGACATGCTTCTGCACTGTTGGGTTGTGAGACTTACTACGGAGTATGTTCTGTTGGGTTGAAGCTTTCTGTTAACTTACTGCGTAACTAACTTAGTTAACTAGTTAGTTCTGGGGAACGTTTCATTACATAAAGCTCGTCGACCAGCCGCTTCTCGTCTCCTCATATGCCTCCAAACAAAATGCGGGCTGAGATATCAACTCTTTGATTTCCACCAAAATTCTCTACTACTTACTACGCAGCGTATACGACAGAGGATTTCTCCTGATCTGCCACTGCTGCTGGTAGCTTGCGCGCTAGTTAGTTCCGGATTTAAGCATTTTATTCCGGGTTCTGCCTTTTTCCTTCGATTTTTATTCTTCGCTTCTTCTTCGCGCCTCTGGCTAAAAGTGGCTTGGTGGCGCAAACCGCCCCCAGATTGGCAAAACAGAAGTGGACATCAACAGACGATCAGGACGATTACGATTCTCTACAGCGTTTCAATTAACTTTATTATCTTTTCCCAACCGCCTCATGCTGATGGCTGACTCCATGAGTGAGCCTGGGTTTGACCTCTGATTGTGGTTTTGGCTGGAATGGATTTTGGCTAGGCACGCACCGGCTTTCTCAGACTCAGGCGACTTTTCTCTTTGTCCTGCAAACAGACCTTCCCGAAATGGTTTGCTTGAGGAATCATCCAGGATAGCGCGCTTTCCGCGTCCATTGGATGGGTGCTGCGTGGAAATTCCGCGGAGTCCGGGGGTGGATTTCGATATTGGGGATCGGCAGGGCTCAGCTCTGATTTTTTTTTCTCTCAGGACCACTGGAACATGTTTGGTCAAGCGCCTTTGGCCTTTTCTTTTCTTCTTTTGTTTTTTTCAAAGCTTGTCCTGCTCTGGTTTAACGTTAGTTTCTGGGGTAATGCCTTGGCTGCAGCGGACCTCGATGATATATCCCTGCAGGCGCCAGAATCCCTGAGCAGCAAGGGTGCGGATGCGGCACGAAGTAAAACGAGCATTTTTCATGGCTGGGCATCGAAAAGCGCCGGCTACACACGGCAGCAGATAGTTACTTGCTGTCCAGGAACTACTGCATGATTCAATTAATGCGACAGTTTCTTTGCTTCCCTCGCCCCTCCAAAAACCAAAAACCCCGACTCACCCATGTTCCAATCCAAGTCGTTGGTCATCTTTTAGTCCGGGATCTTCATGCTGGGCCAATCTGATGTTTGACATCCCCAGCTCCTTGTTAAACGACATGCTGTCTCTCAATCCTGCCTGCGCTCACCACCCCGTCTGACATGGGTGCTTCTCACCTGTCCTGTGAGTCCTGAGCACATTGGCAAGGCTCAATGCGGCCAGGAGTGCAAAAAACAGAATGCAACCATGATTGGGTTTTTTTTCTTTTTCTTTTTCCTTTTTTTTTCCCCCTCAAGTATTCGACAACGATGCAAGCTAGGATCCCGCATGTGGCGGATCTCCCCTGCCAAACAACGGGTGTTTTTTGACTTTGGGGATAGAACAGCGTACTGTCGTTGCAGCTTAAAAATACCGGTTTTGGCATGGACAAACCCCGTCGTCCGTGCACCATTTTGAACCATTTTGAAAGACGGGGAGGAAATTGAAAGTCAAAAATCCACCTTGTCAAACTTACACCCGTGGATAATCATGGAAACACAGCAACCCAACAACTCATCAATAACCGTTTGTATGGAGCTAACCAGATAATCCGCGGCTCTCCCAAAGCATGCGATGTCATGTCCTAGAGAGGAGAAAGTGGACAGTTTCTCGCCCGAGATGCGCCTTTTGCGCCATTATGTTTTATTCACAGTAACTAACCAAGCTCGCAAAAATGTCTGCTGAATTGTAGAGGCTTATGTATATTTTGAGCACATTATGATATCATTCAGGTCTAGAGAATTTGTGGTTCTTATTTTGGGGGGAGAGGGCAGCGCTTGATGTCGACACAGCTTCATCGCATATGGTCTATGGAAACCTAACCCATGGAGAAATCCCAAATTATTTCTCTGAGAATGAAATTATAGTTGAATGTAGCTACTTAGCAGGTTATCTATACGCCTGGGTAGGTAGGTGGTATTTCGTGGCAGAAAGATGTTGCTTCAATGCATTCTTTGAAATCTACTACTCTGTATTCCTTCAACACAACATCAGATATGAGTAGAATATTAGAGATATAAGTATATTTTTTGAGCAGAGAATATAGGAATATAGTAGTATCAAAAAGAATTTAAACATATTAAAGCTTTTAACTACCAATTTGAAAATCACTAGCAGATTTACATATCATTAAAATCTCACTCATATCTAATGTTGTGTTGAAGATATTAATTTTCTTTAATATATATCTTTTATATGGTGAGCTCATACAAAGATACAAGTTGCATTCGTGGTGATAATAGCATTGTGGTGAGGCGCACAACCACAGAGATGGTGGGGGAAGCGTGTTCCCAGCTTCTTCCGCCCATTTAAAAAATTGGGTCAGCTACAACAATACTAATTTGGGAGAACTCACGGATATTGATCAGCAAAGGCCGGTATCCACAGCGGATGGGAGGAATTGAATTCATATAAAACGATTATTTGAGGGATGTCAAGTCATACTACCGCATAGTACTCATCTCCGACGGACGTTGCCAAAATGCCATCATAGAAAAGTATATGCATACATACTATGTACTCTCTTTAGGAGGGTACCAGGAAATATTAGCTAGAGCACTAATAACGACCATCCAAAACCCATGTACAGTACATGTACATCCGTACCCGGAGGAGGGTTGTGCTTGAAGTCAACAATCTATGTCAAAAGGATCGCCAAACCCGGTGAACAAGCTATCCAGTACAGACATATCGACATACGGGTACTCTTCACAGTTCGGCAAGGAGGGCCTGAATTATTACTTATTCCAGCCTCAATCTTCTCTAACATATCACTGCAATTCCCGAGGCAATTATCAGCGAGGTCCTACGAGAAATCCCGCCTGGGGTGTTGTAGGGCATCAATCATATCCCTTGCAAGCTTTAGTGGTGTGTTATTGTTATGCGCACTCGAGTTTCTGGATCTCAAAGCACTCCTCAATAAAAATGACATTGCAGAGGTCAACGTAAACCCATTTGCCGGGATCCAGAATCCACGGCAATGAGACTCATCCAGCTCCTGCACAAAGTGGACAATATCCTCAGCCGCTCTCTGAGCCCGCAGGTAAAACGGGCAATCAAAAGTCTCCTCCACTGGTAATGGACCCCGATCTCGGTCCAGCCGAATCCGCCACAGGAGAAGTTTCACGGCTAAATATGATAGGCGCAGATTTGCAGCGCCGGGGGCATCAAGGTGCGTTCCACGCATGACTGCTTTACGAATATCGTCGCTCAAAGTCTGCTCCCATTTTCCAAGTAGAAGCTTAGGGTTAGTGGCGGATATTTCGAACGGATCAGGAGAGCTCTTTGCAACGTGGTAAATGTACTCTAAGTAGCGACCTAATACATCAGTGAGCGTGATGAGAGAAATAAAAACTGAAGTCGCAGCTATGCTGGATGGTGACGCGCCAGGGGGGCAGAGGTCCTCTGCGTTTGGGATCGGAACATCATGCTGCGCGCGATGGATCTGCATCGGGGTGCCATATGCCAAACTACACCTGTGATGAATTGTTAATTCGACCCCGTGAGGGCTGGAAGACACAGAAACAGGGTGAGAAAAGAGGCTCTCTCACCAACGATCATGTACAACAATCATCCGCCACATCCTAATCCGAAGTTTCTTCTCTGAGGTGGATATATTCCAACCGGACGGATCCCGATGTAAGCCCAGCGCGTTGGAAAGCGCAACTGCCAAGCCAATCAATCCCCCATCGGCTAACATCGTGGTGCTTGGTCTGCCGCAAACATCAAGCATAAGGGCCATCACTGTGGACATTCCAGGAGGCAGAAACATTTCCGAATGGACCGCTTCGCACGACTGCGCCCAAATGAAGTTAACATCCGGGTAGCGTATGTTGCGAAGTTTGGGCGAGTCATGCCAGTATACCAAGGCGCTCGCATATATGGTGGAGAGCGGTGCTAGGGAGATTTTCCGTTGATGATTCAAGTATGTATATCTGAAAGATTCCTCATCGAGAATGGGGAGGCATATGTTTACCTTCGCGAAGAAACTAAAGTCAAATGAATGAAGCCTTATCAGCTTCCAACCTACCCACGGCTATTAAGATCATGGTCTGGCCGATACTCACAGATCTACCAGATCTTTTGCGTGTGGATCGATGAATTTTCGTTGGTGGAGCTATCCGAACCAGTCATCTACCATTTGGCTCTGCAGTAGATGTCACATAGCTCTCCAAGATCTCGCTATCATCCGTCATGGTAGGGGAAACAATGTGGGAGCCTTTGTTTCCACCATCAGCAAATATACCCACGCATCTTGGCTACTCCTCCTCTCGACCATCGTGGTGGCCAGGAGACTGCGAAGCCGCATATTCCACGGGGAAGCTCGAGTGGATCTCCGTTCGACCAGCGTACGGAGAAGAGTTCTGATCCGCAGCATTTGCGCGACTTGGATTATCCCTGGAACGCCTAGCCTTGGATAGCGATTTTCGTGTAGAATGTCTTGGCCTATGCGAGGAAATCTTGTGTTTTTGTTGCGGGAATAGACATTCAGTCTCATGTACCTTACACATGGCGCAGCTGTCCGCGGTATCCCTGACTTTCGTTTTCTGCAAGCAAGGCAGGCTGGATGGGAGTGTGATCGATAGGGCCTCCGCGCCGCTTTCGATCGGGCTTTGACCACTGAAGCCCCTATCCATAGTCATTTAGAGAATTGGTTAAACGGTCACGAAATAGAGCTCACGGATCAATTCGAGCACAGAAGGATCATAAAGTGCAAAAGCGATCCTGTATGTGGGGGAGGCGTTTGCCGCGGGCACAGTCGCGGAAAGAAGCTTTCGTCTTCCCCGCGGCCAAGAAAACGGTCTCCAGCTAGGAACTCTTATCTTGACCCCCCACCGCAGATAAATGTTAAATGTCTCACCTATAACAACAGTATTCCTCCTGGAGTATATCACTTCCACTCGCCGCTACTAGTTTGTTGTCATTCTCCTCTCCCATATTTTCGCCGGCCGAAGTTGCGCTATCCACCTCTACAGCATGGCTGTCAACGCCCAGAGTTTCTGGGCCAGGGCCGACAGACACCTGATGAGAACAGGTATCCCGTTTTCACCAGCTATAATAACCAAAGCCCAGGGTTCCAAACTCTACGATGCCGAGGGCAGGCAAATACTCGATTTCACTTCTGGGCAAATGAGCTCGCTCCTGGGCCATTCGCACCCTGAGATTGTGCAAGTCATCCAGAAATATGCGGGGGAGCTTGACCACCTTCTAAGTAACATGGTCAGTCCACCCGTGGTTGATCTTGCCGAACGTCTTGGTCGTTTACTGCCACCGCCTCTTGAGAAGTCCTTTTTCTTGAGTACCGGGGGCGAAACCATCGAAGCTGCGATTAAAATGGCCAAGACGTACACTGGCAAGTTTGAAATTGTCGCCTTCTCGGCAAGTTATCACGGCTTGACTCAAGGTGCAATATCGGCAACGTACTCAATGGGCAGAAAGCATGGAGGCCCCGTCATGCCCGGGCAACTCGCCTTCCCCGCCCCGTATGCATACCGCTCTATATTTAGGAAGGCCGACGGTTCGTACGACTGGGAGACGGAGATGAGCTACGGGTGGTCCTTGATCGACACGCAATCGGTGGGCTCACTCGCTGCCTTCGTGATGGAGCCTATTTTGTCCACGGGCGGAGTCCTGGATCTCCCCAATGGGTATCTCAAGCGGATGAGCATCGAGTGTAAAAAGCGTGGAATGCTTCTGATCATGGATGAGGCACAGACAGGCGTTGGTCGGACAGGTCAGATATTCGCCTTCCAACATCACGATGGGGTGGTTCCTGATATTTTATGTCTGTCGAAGACGCTGGGTTGCGGTCTACCTCTATCCTCCGTTAGCACCACTGCTGAGATTGAGCGAGGCTGCAACGAAGCTGGCTTCATGTGGCTCACAACACACTATAACGACCCTTTAGCCGCCGCCGTTGGCAACAAGGTCCTGGAAATAGTCGAGCGAGACAACATCTGCCAGCGTGCATCCGCCCGTGGTGAGCAGTTATTCAACGGCCTCCTCGCTCTCCAGAAGAAATATTGGTGCATTGGCGACGTCCGTGGCCGTGGTCTTCTCCTAGGGATAGAGATAATCTCCGACCCCGAGACGAAAGCGCCAGCTCCTGCCCTGGGCCAAATTGTTTCAGATCGAGCTTTGGCTCGCGGATTGTCGTGCAATATCATCGCATTTCCGGGGATGGGTGATGTGTTCCGTTTGGCGCCTCCGGTGACTGTGACTGCTGAGGAAATTGAGGAGGGGCTTCAGATCCTTGATGAGGCTTTCGCGTTCGCGGTAATGAAGCATGGTTTGGGCATCTGATTGTGAACCTGAGTTTTGCGCTGTTGCTTTTTGCGGAGATGGCAAAATTCGATACCCTCTTATTGATCAATCTACTTGCTCCTTTCCGCGCATTTGAGTCATCGCTCTATATCAATCTCCAGAGCGATTTTGATATGATCTTAGGCAAGTCTATTTCTGCTCTCTGGCCCCTTTTGGGATCAGCTCAAGCCAATCGCAGTTTTTCAATTGTTCAATTACCCCTGAATCACGTGCTTCTCTCATCTGCTCCTGTCCAAAGCCAGAATGTCTGAACAAAGTAAATCCTGAATCCAAATAACGATCAAGACTCGATTCTTGCTCCCTATTTTGCGATGGTTACCTATACCGAGTATTGGGATGTAAATCTTCGAGCAGGCCAGGGGAACGGAACTCCAACTGTTTTGCACCAAGCGTTAACAGAGCCATATCAGGGTAACCTACGGCAATATCCAAGTCCCCATTTTACGAGCATTTCATCACCGACTTTTCTTCCTAATAGCCTCGAGCTTAGCACGACAGGCTGAGATCGTGACATACTCCTTACAAGTTCGCAGGTGAATGCAACGAGAAAATATCGCGTGGCGAGGACTCCGTTAATTGTCTAGCCACCAACAACACTTTCTTTTATACTACAGCTAGCAAACCACCATCTCAGCCTCCTGATACATATCTAAATATGTCCAACCCGTTATCCAGCAATGGCGGCAGCTGGCAGCCTCCACCGCTAATACCAATACACGCAGCAACACCACCACCACCGCCGCCGCCGGTACCAGTGCCAGATCCTAACCTTGAAGAGCTAGAGTTGATGATGAACTGGTATAATATCGATATACACCCTTTCTCAACCAACCTCGAATACAAAGCCGTGTGGCAGAAGGCACTTCAGCAAGAATCCCTCACCCACCTGTTCCTGATGCATGGGATTCTAGCACTATCTGCCCTTGAACTTGGGCGCAGGAAAGGGTGCGATGCCACCAATGTCAATCAACGATCATACACAGCCATCGCCCTTGGCCATTACTTGAGAGCTGTTGCCCTATCCCAGCCAGTATTAAAAAACATCAATGAGGAGAATTGCAAAGCCGTGTTTCTACTCCCAACTCTTCTTACCGCCTTTGCATTCGGGTCTCCACAACAAGCCTGGGGTCTAGGGAATAGCCGCCACCCTATTGCTCGGTTTCACCTTGTTCTTCTTCTAGCAAGAGGGATGGGGCAGGTACAGTCTACCGCGATAGACAAGATGAAGGATGGCAAATTTGACACCCTTATTAAACCAGATAGCTACAGCCCCTGGCTACCTGCTGACGCAAAAGCAGCACTATGTAACCTTCACCAGCTCAATGAGAACTGTGAACAATACAGCATCTCCGAGAAGAACATTTACAACACAACAATCAACCAGGTTGAGATCATGCTGGGGCAGATTCACGTGGCCGCGACAAGGCCCAATCCAGCAGTTATGTGGGCAACAGAGGTGCCACCACTGTACTTGGAGCTTATGAGGGCATATAAGCCCATGGCGCTTGTTGTCCTGGCTCATTACTGTGTTATTTTGCACCATCTTAGGGGGATATGGTGGGTTGATGGATGGAGTGTCCCACTATTGCGGGCAGTATGGTTGTTGTTGGGTGATGAGTGGAGACAATCGCTTCGATGGGTGGTAGAGGTGACGGGATTTGCACCTTAGCAAGGTCAGGCAGGTGTGGTTGTACTAAGGTGATAGTTGAAGGCCGTTCGACATGCTGGGAAATATCGGCTTTGGAATGTCGCCGTCGAAAATGGAGAGTTGAAGCGCAATTCTTTGCAAAAGCTACATCTTGTCTAGACGACTATTACAGGTTCAAGGTGGTCTTCAATGCCGCAGAAAGAAACATAAACTTCGTCATCCAAAAGAAGTAAAGTACTGTCCAGCTAGAAATCTCATCCTCTGTTGTTGAAATTTAGCTAACCAACTGCTTACCTCCTTAGAGTCCTTGCCCCGTTTGCTACCGTTCCTCATCGCTATGTATTCTTTGGCTGGGACAGACACAGGGCTGAATTGAAGGTTGCTCGAAGCAGAAGGGCGTCAATTGAACTAAAAATTTTATATTTCAATATACCGAAGGAGAAACGTGGTAGTTCGCTGATCAATATTTTCTGTAAATCCCATGCACCTTGAGAACTATCGTAGCAATAAAAAAAGCAGACTTATTACCAGTAGTTGTCAACAGCAAAGAGAGCTCAGTTCTACCTAGATATGAGGGACGCCCTTCGCGGCTCGGTAGTGTCCCGATATCCCCGCCTTTGACATCGCGACTGATAAAAGAGCCCACCTACAAATACGCCCCCACCGGCAACTCTTAAGTACTGGCGCGATAAGGTAAATTCTTCCGGAATGTTGTCACTTACATGTAAACATCACGTTCCATATAAATGTTGCGCGGCTCTCGCTTTATTTCCGTCAAAGCGTAGAGAGCCAAGGAGACCTGGGCCAATCCCTACGCTGGCGGCCCAATCCGCTACGCTACAAGCCAATGGGAAAAATTCCAACAAAACTTCACAATAATCCCCCACACCTCCCGGTCCAAAGCCGAATTCATCCACGCCCTCCAACCAGGCGGTCCCTACTCCACCATAAACGGCACACTGCGTCCCGCGATCTCAAAACCACAAACCGACCTCCCGCTCCCAGACAAAGAACTCTCATCTCCCCACCTCCCCACGTCCTGCGAGATCATCGCGTCCGTCAACCACGGCTACGATGGCATTGACACTGACGAACTGGGGCGCAGGGGGATCTGGTACTGCAACGGCGCCGGCGCCGCAAATGACTCGACAGCGGACATTGCGCTGTTTCTGATCCTCGCGGCGTTCCGGTACACAACGTTCAGCGAGGGAAGGTTGCGCGAGATGCGCGCGGCCAGCTACTTCAGTATGGAGGGGGATGTGTTGCCGTATGCGAACACACCGCGCAATCGCATCCTGGGCGTCGTGGGGATGGGAGGGATTGGGGGGGAGATTTCAGTCCGGGCGCGGGCGGTGCGGATGCAGATACATTATTTCTCACGGACGAGGAAGGGGGCCGATGTCGAGGGGTTGCTAGGTGGGGCGGTGTACCATCCCACGCTGAAGGGGATGTTGGCGGTGGCGGACTGTGTGGTGCTGGCGTGTCCGCATACGCCAGAGACGCATCATATTTTCAATCGGGAGACGTTTGCAGCCATGAAAAAGGGGGTGCGGCAGGTGCGTTGACGAGAATGCGCTAGCGGATGCGATTTGAGGATGGCATAGTGGCGGGTGCGGGGGGGGGTTGGATGTTTACCGTGATGAGTGAGTGGGTTTATCATTTCTGGCTCTATTTCTGGCTCTATTTCTTTCCTCTTTTTTTTTCTCCTTTGTTGCTACTGGTGCTGCTTTTATGACTAGTATGAACTAGCATGAGAGGGATGAGGTTTACTGATCAGACTATATCCAGATATCCAGGCCGGTGGTCAACCACAGATTGTTGGATAATATGAGGATAACATTGCTGCCGCATATGGGAGGCGCATGTGTTGATACCCACGAGGTAAGAAATTTCCCTCTCGCTGTCATACAACATATGTAAGATAGTAGTAGCAAACAAAGCAATCAAGATTGCTGCTCCCTGTCTAGGGCTGGCAATTCCAACAGCTGTGTAACATTCTTCAAAGCAACTGATATTGTGGCGGACATATTACTTGCGAAAACAGAATTTTCCCAGGCCCCCCTGAAAATTAGTAGCAAAACATCACCAAAAAATCAAAATATCTGCATTTCTCTAGAATCATTCAATATCATCCAATACACATCTTTTTCAATCAAATATCATCCAAATACATGTCTTTCTTACCTTTATCATCAATATGTCATCTCAACTCTGTGATTTCATCACCAATGAGATTGTACATCTTCTTAAGAATGATTATATGTCTGCTGAGATCACATGAAGTATTGATTATTATCTAACTACTGTATATTGAATTCAATAAAATCTTTACTATTTTGAAACTGTTAGAGAACTCTGTTCAACATGTGATATAAAGTCAAAGATTATATCAGATATCTTATTAGAATTGAAGAGTTAGTTAGATACTCAGTTTAATAAAGATTTTGAAGCTTTTTTACATTATACAGTTGAGAACTTCATGAGAGAAAAAGATATAAAAGAATATTTCAGATCTACTTATATAGAATAGTATTATAATAATTAGAAAGATTCAGATTACAATTCATTATAATATAAATTTAGAAGTGAAAGTAGTATGAGATCTATTCTTATCATTATAAATAGTGAATAAAGATGATTTGAATTTCTGCAATTTTATCTATTATAATGAACTTTTTAATTCATCTCTTATAATTTGAAATATACTCTTGTTAATATTCATATGAAGCAACTGTTCTCTTGTCAATCAATTGAAGTATTCATCAAATTGAGGTATTGAACTGCTTTGAATTGGAGATGGAACAGCGGATTCGATGGAAGATTTCAACAGTGTATTTGATGGAAGATTCAGCGGCGGATTCGATGGAAGATTCAACGGTGGATTCGATGGAAGATTCAACGGTGGATTCGATGGAAGATTCAACGGTGGATTCGATGGAAGATTTCAACGGCGGATTTGATGGAAGATTCAACGGCGGATTCGATGGAAGATTCAACGGTGTATTCGATGGAAGATTCAACGGTGGATTCGATGGAAGATTTCAACGGTGGATTTGATGGAAGATTTCAACGGCGGATTCGATGGAAGATTTCAACAGTGGATTCGATGGAAGATTTCAACGGCGGATTCGATGGAAGATTTCAACAGTGGATTTGATGGAAGATTTCAACAGCAGATCTGGATGTAGATGATAATGAGATTGTGAATTCAGTTCTTCTATTCCTTTTATCATATATTTCATCATCATCACATTGATTATCTCACTTGGGAATGCTATATTGAATGAAGTTGAAGCTGCCAGAGCTGAAGAAGGGAATATAATCACTGACATTTGAGAGATCTATATAAAAGAATTGATTGTAGAAGTTGTAGATTCATTCTTCTGATTCTTCTTCTTCTTTCTACTCATTAATCATTTTATCATCTCTCTTATTCTTTATCTCATTGATAATCATCTGTTCATACAATCTGTATAAGATGTCAGATTCAGGGGTAGAGATTCACAGATATAGAATTCTCAGACTGAGTCTCTATATTCTTCTCATTCATCTGCTTCTTCATCTCATCATTGACTGAATCCTCTCCATTATCCAGAACTTCTGAAACAGGTAGTTTGAAGAGACTGAGGCACAATGTAGAAGTCTTTGTACAGGCTTGTGAAGCAGCAGGATGGCAGGTGTTGCAAGGCATATTGAAAAAAGAGTTGATTGATATATGTGAATTTGATGATAAAGGTAAGAAAGACATGTATTTGGATGATATTTGATTGAAAAAGATGCATATTGGATGATATTGAATGATTCTAGAGAAATGCAGATATTTTGATTTTTTGGTGGTGTTTTGCTACTAATTTTCAGGGGGGCCTGGGAAAATTCTGTTTTCGCAAGTAATATGTCCGCCACAATAGCAACGGCGGGCAGAAAAAATTAACCTTAACTTACAGCGTTAAAGAGAAAGAAAGAAATGATGTCAAAAAGATTGATCCGAGTCGAACTTGTCAATATGTTATTATTATATTAGCAGCAGGCACGTTTTTCATCTCTCCTCCTGTAGCTAATTATTGTAGTTATCTATCTCATCCTTATTCAATATTTTCTTATATCACTACGTACCAATTCCCGGTAAGTTTGGAATTCTGCTCGTGGTTTAAGTGAACTTGCCACTCAAGGCTATCGCCGGTTCTCCAGGGTCGTTATTATTATTATTATTATCATTATTAACTTACTGTGTTCTCGACTGCTTGACCGCTTGACCGCTGTGATTGCTGTAGGTAGGGTGGAACATATCACATCCCATCTTCGATACACCAATTTTTTTTTATTACCTCTGAGGGTGTTGATTAATCCCGCTGCGATATAAATATATCTATTATACATTTTCGTTCGTGATTTGTTCTTTCCTGCATATGTAATCTGACATATTTTATTCTCTAGGTATAGATAGGAGGACCTGGAGCATTGTTCTCGGACCTGCTTGATATTATTGCAATCTTGATATACATATATCCCCCGCAGATTGGGCGGCGTTGATTTGATACAATCATCTAGAGCGGAATATTTATCCTCAAATTGCGGAGAGGAGCTAAAAAAGAAAGGCCGGGAGACAGTTCCGCCGCTCTCAAGAACACACCACCCACATATCAAGGGATATCTCTCATTCTCCGCTTCAAGCTATCTGTCTATATACATCATCCCGCCAACTCATGACAGAAACGGAGCAAGGCTCACTCCACAATGGAGTGGGCCTATCACTCCGCCCAGAAGCCCGCGTCCTCATTATCATGACCGGCGGCACAATCTGTATGCAACCCTCTGACTCCGGCTTCATCCCCGCCCGTGGCTTCCAAAAGACAGCCCTGGAACCCGTCCCCACCTTCAACGACAAATCCAACCCAGAGCCCCTCGATGTCGTCGTCAACAGCAGAGGTGAACGACGACCACACGAGAGCCTCCGCACCCCGCCAACCGCCTATGGCGGGCGCGTGCGCTACACGGTCTTCGAATTCGAAGAACTGCTCGACAGCAGCTCGATAGACTCAAATGGCTGGGCCCAGATCGCCCTCACCATCTCCTGGAACTACACGCTCTTCGATGCCTTCGTTGTCCTGCACGGCACGGACAGTCTAGCCTATACGTGCTCCGCGCTCAGTTTCATGCTGCGCAACCTGGGCAAGCCGGTGATATTGACCGGGTCGCAGGCGCCCATGCTCGAGCTGCAGAATGATGCGACAGACAACCTGCTCGGCTCGCTGGTGATTGCGGGCAATTTCATGATTCCGGAAGTGTGCTTGTATTTTAACTATAAGCTGCTGAGGGGCAATCGGGCAACGAAAGTATCCGCGAGCGCGTTTGCGGCGTTCGATTCGCCGAATTTCGCACCCCTGGCTGTCACAACGGCCATGAGAACCAATGTTGCTTGGGATCTCGTACATAGACCGACGCATCTTGAGCATTTTAGCATCCAGATTAACCTGGATACGACGCACGTGGCGTGTCTGAGGATATTCCCTGGAATTAAGCCGGAGATGGTGGATGCTGTGTTGCGCCTGGAGGGGCTAAGAGGCCTTGTGCTTGAGACGTTTGGGGCCGGAAATGCACCAGGTGGTCCAGATAATGCAATGACAAATGTGCTCGCGGCAGCGATAAAGCGCGGGATTGTCATTGTCAACGTTACGCAATGTATTACTTGGTTTTTTTTTATCTTATTTTTCCATACTTACTCCCTTCGCTGTTGAAACTGCAACTAACTCACCACAACAGGCCTTTCCGGCAGCGTCAGCCCCGTCTATGCCCCCGGGATGACCCTCTACCGCGCCGGCGTCGTTGCCGGTCAAGATATGACATCGGAAGCCGCTCTAACTAAACTCGCCTACCTACTTGCACTGCCCGGAGCTACCCCTCAGTCCGTCGCGCGCGACATGTCCCTCTCCCTACACGGGGAACTCACCGAACACTCACAGCCGGTCTTCCAACACCCGGGCGGCAGCGTGCTACCGCAACGAGTGAAGAGTCTGGCAGCACTGGGCTACGCGATTGCGCACGGAAACCTCGAGAAAGTGAAGGATATCCTTCGCGGGGAGGAGGAGTGGATTTTAAACGATGCGGATTATTCGGGGAATACACCATTGGTATTTATGAGATATTTCTTTGGTTTTATTTCTGTTTTTTTGTTTCCGTCCTTGGTTCCCTGGCACATTCTTTGTGATTTTACTGCTGGAGGGTATGGAAGCCGGGAGAGCGGAAGGATTGTACAGAAGGAAGAGGCCAAGCCAATGAAAAAGCAAAAGACCCCGTTCTCTTAACATTTCCAAACCCCCCTCCGCCGCATAATACCTATTATTATATCACACACATATATCCCTTCCCCAAACCAACATATACATGCAATTACACAACACCGCACCAGGATTCTCCCCCAAAAAATACATACCCCCCTGCCCACCCAGCAAAATAAAAGAAAAAAAAAAAGAAACGCCTACACCTCAATAATCACCTTGGCTCACACACAAAAACAACCACAAACAGCACCTCGCCGCAACATCCCCCAACCTCTCGATCCTCCGCCACTTCCTTCTCCACGGCGGATCCGTCCACTTACGAAACCGCGCGGGCCGAACCGCACTCTTCCTCGCCGCAAACGCGGGGCTGATCGAGCACGTCCGGCTGCTGCGGCAGTCCGGTGCGCATTTGCATGCTGACGAGCGGGCTGTGGCTGAGTTGCATGCAAGGCGGCAGTTGGGGAACGGGTTGGGATTGGGTATTTGGGGGCTTGCCGGTGTGGAGGTGGACGGCCATAGCGGAGGGGGAGGGGAGGAGAGCGGAGAAACGGGGTAGGGAGAAAAGGTGGATTGAGATTGGAATGAAAGAAAGAAGGAAAGGAAAGGGGTAATATGTTGGAAGGGAGAATGCGTGATTGGTGCCTTTTTCTTTTTTCTGGAATGATCTTTAAGGGGGTGACGGATAGAGAATTAACTAGAGAAGGTGTTTTGTTCTACGGGGGGAATTTTCTTTGGGCGGCTGTTTTTGTCATGTTGTCAGTTCTGTTTCGAGGCGTTATATGGGATAGCGATGTTATTATAGGAGTTCTCTAATAAACAGGCGTGTGGTTCCGGGTGGTAATCTGAGAGTCGTGGACATCAAGCCGGGAGGGAGTCTGCTCCACAACACCCCCCCGGCCTTGGCAATAATATGATTTGTCCGGAGAAATGTGTGCAAGCTAGCAGGAGCCACATTATATATAAAAAAAAAAGCACAATACAGGCCAGTTTCTATCCGCGCAGTGTAAATTATTATTGTTAATATTGTTATTGTCCTTCTTTGTTATTATTATTGATATCAAATTGTCTCATGCTGCACCCAGAAGGCTTGCTTATAAAGCTCTCTCTGTGTCCATGGCTCAATCTCCATCGCAATTTGCTGTCAAATATTCGCCCTCCAATAGGGGGCAAGTTGAGCCAGCAAGTTTTATTCGATACCAAAAGTAATAAGAAACATGAAACGAAATAAAGAACTTGAAGTTTCTTTCAAGTTTGTGCGGGAACCGCCGGCAATTCTGCTCTATCATCATGACATCAACGACCCGCCCACTGAGCCCCTGTTTTTCTTTTACCGCAGATGTTTACTTCTTTTCCATTATAAATATACAATAGGCGGGTCCCCTTAAAAAAGCCCTCAATGTCACGCCTAACTTAAGCACTATAATAGAGTAATAGAGAGAGAGAGATATACTTACATTCTTTTTCTTAAAATCACACTTCAATTGCTCAAAAATTATCACCCATCGACGTTTAAAGTAATATCGAAGAAAAAAGGCAACCATGACCCAGCCCATTAAAACCGATACTTGGCTCGTCGAGGGCTCAAACGGCTTCGACAGCCTTAAACTTCATCGCGATGTCACAATTCCAGCACTGGGCGACTATGACTGTCTCGTCCAGATCCAAGCTGTCTCCCTTAATTACCGAGACCTCGTCATTCCACAGGTAAAACATCCCCCCCCCTTACCATTTACCTCCTCAATTTCAAAAGCTAACCATATGTGGAAAACACAGGGCCTCTACCCATTCCCCCTGACCCTCCCTCGAATCCCCTGCTCCGACGGCGCCGGCATCGTCCTCGCCACGGGGCCCCGCGTCACCCAATTCCGCCGTGGCGACCGCATCTGCACCCTCTTCAACCAAACCCACCAAGCCAACCCCATCACGCGCACCTCCATGGCCTCCGGCCTAGGCGGCACGCTCGACGGCACCCTGCGCAAATACGCCGTGCTGCCCGAGACAGGCCTGGTTAGCGCGCCTAGCAACCTCAGCCCCGTCGAGGCAAGTACGCTCAGCTGCGCGCCCCTGACGGCCTGGAATGCGCTGTACGGCCTCGTGCCGCTGAAGCCCGGCGACACGGTGCTGACGCAGGGGACGGGCGGGGTGAGTCTTTCGGCCATCCAGTTTGCGCTGGCGGCTGGGGCGACGGTGATTGCCACGACGTCGTCGCAGGAGAAGATGGAGCGGTTGAAGAAGATGGGCGCGCAGCATGTGATTAATTATAAGACGACGCCTGAGTGGGGGGAGGTTGCGCGGTCGCTTACGCCTGGTGGGAATGGGGTGGATCATGTTGTTGAGGTTGGCGGGCCGGGGACGATGGCGGAGTCTCTGAAGGCTGTGCGGAAGGAAGGTGTTATTACGATTATTGGATTTTTGGGAGGTACGGGGGGTAAGGGGGAGAAGGAGCCTAGCATTTTGGATCCGTTGGTGCAGATTTGTACGGTTCGGGGCATCCTGGTGGGTTCAAGGCAGCAGATGGAGGATATGGTGCGGGCGATTGAGGTGAATAAGATTCAGCCGGTAGTGGATGAGAAGGTGTTTTCGTTTGAGAAGGCAAAGGATGCATATCAGTATCAGTGGGAGCAGAAGCACTTTGGCAAGGTGGTTATTAAGGTGGACGGTTGATTGGCCTTGTATTGTACAGGGATCTGTATGTTATAAGGATCTTAGGGCATAGGGCATGGTCAGGTGACCCACACAAGCCTCGCCACCTCATATCCACCCGCTCACCTCTAGCTTAGATAGCTTCTTCTTCTTCTTCTTCTTCAAGATTCAGTTTCAATATGATCTAGTATACTGCTGCTATTCACCCTGATAAAGTTAGTCTTCATTCTGTAATATTACTGCTATTAGTCACAGATCTGCAGCATTTTTTTTTCTACATCTTCATACACAGTGTTCTGCAGTAAAAAATGATATTCAGTCAAATTATATAAATTCAAGCTCTTACAGATCAAGTTAATGAACTAATCACTCAGAATTATTAAATAACTGATATTAATATATATAGACTGACTGTGTGACTGTGTCTGAGATTAGAATCAGATTTTTTGATAGTTTCATTACTAATTTAACTGATCTTATTACATGATTTTATTATTAGATAGTAGTCTTATACTGTCTCAGTGAGACTTACTGTCTACTCTTATCACATTTTTCAAATGAGATTATGATTTTCACTTCTCAATTTAAATTATTTTTATTACTTTAAATAACTTTAAATTTTATTTAAGTGTTATTAAAAAGCATTACTTTTTAAAAAATTAAAAATAATCTAAAAAAAACCTTAAAATGTCTAAAAATAGTAGCTTTATATTAAGAATGAGACTAAATGAGATTAAATGAAATCACTTTCTCATTTTTTTCAAGTTATGATTTCATTTTAAAATCTGATATATAGTCACTTTATATATTTTTTTAATAGTCAGTCTCAGTGAGATTTACATCAAGAAATGTGTAAGATTAGATTAAATGAAATTAAACATGAAATTTATAATTCTGACAGTTAGTTTAAATACATAACTTATCTAATATTTGAAAACACTGAAAGTTATTACTTATATAAAAGACATACTTTCAGCTCTGATTTATTATCAACTTATCATCACTATCACTAAGATGAAATTGTATAAATTAAACATCTTTGATAGAACTAGTGATATTTATTTCTAACTATTAAATATGAATAATAATATTCATGAATATCTTATTATTAATAAAGTCTTTAAAATCTCTTTCAGTATTAGCTATATTAGCTCTAAAATTCATTAATATATTTAGTAAATATAAATGAAACATGATATATATATCATTATCTGAGACATTCTGAAGATATAACTCTGTAATAATTACTAGAAGATTAATACAGCTTTTACTACAGAGTTATGAATAAACTCTCTTTATATACAATATAATTAATATACTTTAGACTTCATTATCAACTTCAAGATCATTATAGTAGACTTAAAGTGAAATAATTCTGTACTATGTATTATATTCTGTATTAAGTTAATAATATTAATTCTTCACTAGATTAATTAAGCTTACTTTAATACTTAATTAGTATTATTTATTAAATAAAAGAAGGCAGTTATAATAACAGAGAGCTATATTTCTATATTATATTAACTCATCTCACAGAACTATTAAGTTGAATTTAATTTTATATAAGATAATACAATCTCTAATATCACTGTTAACAGAGATTATTTCAGATTATTATATAGTAGTAACTAGACTGACCACTAAGATCATGAATTTCACATTTAATCTCATTTAATCTGATTTCATACATTTCTTGATGTGAGTCCCACCAGGATCAAGTCTTAAAAAAATCTGAAAATGAACTATTTCTGAGAGAAATGACATGAAAAATGATTAGATTTAATTCAAGAACAGTGAAATGAGAGTAATTTTCTAGAATAAACTGTGAAAGATGATCATTCTTTCAAAATCAGAATGAGACTGAGACTGAAGATTAAAGTCTCATTCAGTTTATTCAGTGATTGCTTATATAATCAGAATTTGATAACAATTATTAATAACACTTATGAAACAACTAAATACATTCTTATGTAAGTTTATTCTTTACTTTCTCATAAAAACTACACTTCTCTGATATACTGTGATTAGAGATATTAAACTATCTGATAATTTTATGTTTTACAATCATGAGTTTCTTAATTATTTCTTCTTGTAATTGTTCTCAGTGATAGTGATAAATATTTCAACTTGAGTTGAACTTTTACTTCATTCTCATCTCTGTTAATGAAATTATCAGAATATCACACATCATCAGTGTAATAGTTGAATATGTACTCTTAACAATTTTTCAGAACTCTAGAATTGATTTAGTGTGTAAATTCATCAGATTATCTTGAAGATAGCAGTCAAATTCAGTTTTATAAGTATGTAGTTTTACCTGATTTTCAGTTGTAATCAATGTATGCAAGTTCTGTTTCAAAGTTAGTATTATAGTTTGTAAGAATAAGTGCTCGCAGGCGATTATTCAGGTGTTTGCAGCTTGGCGTGATATGTACTGTTAACTACTAGAAGTATTTATGATAAAAAGATAAAATGTAGAAATCAAATATATAATAGCATTCAAGCTGAGTTATAAATAGTATTCACAAACTTCAGTCTATATAGTTGTGTGTAGTCAAGAGTCACTAGCTCTATTGATTATATAAGAGATAGAAATAGAGATAAAGAATTCATGAGAAGTAGAATTTCTTATATACTCTCTTCTTTCTAAGACTTTGTCTGTGAAGCCTTTCACTGAGTGATCTCATAAAATCAGCTCAGTACTACAGTAATACTTACTAAAAATTCTTCACATCTATAAAAAATCTCAGTGAGAAAAAATCTCTTATTACTGTAAAGAGAAAAGAGTCTGTTACTCAGTTTCTTATTCTATGAGATTCTTTATAATCTACAGATTCTTCTCTGACTATCATACAGATTCATCTCATATCTTTCATACAGAAGAATTCTGATTGACTCTTAATTATTTTCATAAGATTCTTATATAATTATTACATAGATTTATCTTACAGATGAATCACTCTCTATGAGATTATTCTTATTAAAGAGAAGCATTTGTGAGTTAATCTTTCACTTATTTTTATAAATCATTGTTCTTTAACACTGTAGAATTATAAGGAATTTTTCATTCTTTCATTAACTCTGTAGAATTGTAGAATCAAGATATTTACAGTCTGCAATCACTCTTTATAATTATATAGAAAGATTCAGATCTACAATTCATAATTACTCTTGTTTATTAGAGTGATCTGACTGTTTCACAGAATCACTCACAGTGTAAGTAAATCTCTCTAGAATAGTATAAATATCTCAGATCTATTCACAGAATCTTATCTTCTTTTCTCTTTTTCTATAACAGCTCTTATTCTTATAAACTGTGAGTATTCTCATTTATCTATGAAGTGTTTTCACTCAGATAATAGAGAGAGAGTGTTTCTGACAATATCTATGTATTAATTCAAGAACTTCTCAAGAATAAAAATTTTTTTAATTTTAATATCTTTATAAATGATATCTGACTGCTGCTGAGCTTCTCATGAGTGTCTCTGCAACTTCTCTAATTACTTTTTATCAGCTGATGAAGCAGAAACACTGCTGTTCATGACTGTATCTTTATTTCTCTCAGTCTCATCACTGTATCTGATCTTCAGGCCAGCAGCTTATTCCATATCTTCTTCAGATCAGTCTCTGACTCTAAGCAGTGCAGTCTCTCTCTTTACTGTAAGTCTTCTCATAAGTAATTTCTTACAGACTCTAGCTAACAGTTCTTATAAAGCTTCTGATGTTATCAGTGTCTTCTACAGCTCTGTGAGTCTATGATCACTCTTTCTCTGCTTACACAATCTCTGATCAGGCATATATAAATATGTCTAGATTCTCTATCAATGATTCTCACACTGTGGCACATTTTCACAATCTCATTATCAATGAGAGATGAGTTCTCAGATACCTGTAAAATCTGAGTAATTAAGACAATATAAATGTCATGAATTTGTGATAAGAGTTAATCTGAGCAGATGAGCTCTCTCTTCACATCTCAATTATTTTCAGACTGAATACTTCAGCACAACTGAGAGAGTGAATATAGCTTTGTAAGAAATATCTAATCACACACACAGATGATTAGTCTTCAAGACTCTGCTGTAACTATATATACTCTGATATTCAGCTTCTCTGAAGTCTGTGTATTTCTGACAGCTTTTGTATTAAATACAATAATTGTCTGTATCACAGACATGATACTCTCTGCTTCTTTGAAGAGAGAAATTGATAGTTGTGAAGAAATTGAGTATCATAGATATTGAGAATGTAAGTTTAAGTTTTCTTTATTTTTTCTTTATTAGTCTCTAAATTATATTCACAGCTCTGTTTATTTTCTTATTTTTTAACTTTAATAAGAATATAATTTCTTCTTTTCTTATGTACACTGCAGACTGTTCATCTCAGTAGAAACTTATTATCTTATAGACTAGAGTTTATAAATAACAGTGTTAATATCTTTATTATAATCAGATTCTTAGTGAAGACTGTATCATTCTGACTTATTAAAATTTATAATATAAAAGTTATATCTTAGCTTCTACAGATGTCTTATCTATCTGAATGATTCTTAAGTGAACTTATTCATCTTATCAGAATATTCTTATCACTGAATCTTGAATCAGAGCTTGTAATCTCACTTCTCTGAGTTAATAATTTCTTTGATCTCATATTCTCTTTCACTCTCTAGTACTTTACAGATAGAGTGATAAGTCACAGAATTCTCTTCTGAGAATTTCTTATATTTACAGAGCAAAGAGACATGAAAAACATTGTATATCTGTAACTCAGATAACAGTTTCAATCTGTAGAACTGTAAGCTAATTTTCTTCATAATCTTATAAGACTCTGTCTGTAAGAGATTCAGCTTCTTACTAAGTCTTTATATAATGATGTTTTCTAGACTCAGTCAGACTCTATCATCTTTCTTAAAACTCTTTATAATATACTTGAAGTCATAGTATCTCTTCTAATACTCTTAAGTCTTTCTTAAGAATTCACAGACTTTCTCCTGAATCTTCTGAATTCTCTCAGCTTATTCACAGACATCATCACACTTAATAGTATACTCTTACAGATTCATTAAGATTATTCATGAATAAGTCTCAGTGAGTATCTCAAAGAGGGTTTTATCTGTACTGACATACTTTGAGTTGTTATATATGAACTCTGTAAATGATAATTAATACACTCAGTTATTCTGATTATAATTGATAAAGCATCATAGATACTGTTTTAATATACTTATCAGATATTCTGTCTGACTATCTGTCTGTTAATGAAAAGCTGTGCTTAAATCTTATGAGATCTTCAGTATAGTTATCAGATCAGATCAGAACTCTTCTGTGAAGATTAATTCTCTATCTGAGATAATATTCACAGATAATTCATGCAACTGAATCACATTGTAGATAAAGATATAAGTTAAATTCTTTGTCTTTAAGTTCT